CCCGGCACTGTCGTAAAACCCCAAAGTTATTGAATGAACCCTGATCCGAAAGACCCCTGGTCTAATGCTAGGAGCCCTGCCCCTGAAATACCTATGGCCTCCTGGCCCCCGTAGACTGAAGAAACCCAGTTCCCTTTTGGCTCAGCATTGACCTCATCCCACCCTCCTCTGGTGCTTTGAGGAACGCGCGAGGGTACAGAAGGATTCGAGTGAACACCCCGGTCTGCAGAATGCTGATTCACAATCATCATCATCATCATCATCATCATCGTTTTCATCATCATCATCATCATCACCACCAACAGCAAGCCATCCCTACGGAGTTCCGCTTGAGACCTATGTGGAACCCCCTGCATGTGTCCCAATGCACCCTTTCTTCTGCATAGCTGTTTTATCCATGCAAGAATCCCCATCCTTGGAAACCTTCATTTGCATGTATACATACACACAAACATGAAACATGACATCTCTGCATGGGCGCCTGATGGATCTGGTAGCTTCCTAAGCTGAACTGAACGTCGTCTCACAGTCTCACAATTGGGCCCCCATATGGATTCTCAAGAATGGGGCAATACAGAAGCATTTCAAATTTTGTACCATTATTCAGTCTCCAAGCGGGCGTGGGGTCATGAACGGTGTGGATGGTCGCAAAAGGAGTGTGACGCCTGCTTGCGCAGAAATGCCACGTAACACAAACCTTGAGGACCTTACAACAAATTATGCCGAACACGTCTACTTGGTCTTCTTGGGATTTGCAGGTGTTGTGGAATCTTCCTGTTCCCGATTTTTGACCCTTGGGCCGCACTTGTGGAAACTTGCGCGAGCTCGCGCGCAATCCCTCTGAAATCCTTTTCGTTGGGCAACATGTAAACGACCACCGAGGAAAATGTTTTTTGCTGCTACCAACACGCAGCTGCCTTTACATGCATCACCAAGCAGACCTCAAGCCGCCACAAACATTTCACAAAGAGGGTCAGCATTAGTGACAAATCCATCTGCATGCTTGGGCGTCACTTGCGCAAAATTTGCTGCCCACTATGTCGCACGTTGACAGGTCATGTTCGTCGCTGTCAGGATATGGCACTAGTCTTTCAAATTCGCCTGCCCCAGCAAACGCCCTCCTTTGCTCTCGCCTGAAGGGGTCAGTCATGAATACGCCTTCTGCGATAAGTTATCAGTCGCGACAACTGCTCGTACGGTTGTCCGGCAAGGATGATATGTAATTACCATGCTACCCGCCTTTGGACGGATATGGATGCTGTCGCACATGGATTCGCGTTTGCTTCTGAATGTGGCGCGCCCCTGACCCGATTTCCCCGTCGTATCCAGAGCACACCATCTGGAAACTACTCTTGAGCAATCAGCCTCCGCCATTCCTCATGCGCCATAGCAAGTTTGTTGGACGAATTCATGACACCCGACAAGTCCTCCAATCTGCTTGGGGAATTCTTCTAAGTAATGCCAGAAGTACACAACCCAATCGAGGTGCGCTTGAACTAGTAAGGGTCAGGGTATAAAGACAAAACTGAATTTCTGATTGTACTTCAGTGTTGCACACTTCTGCGCAAATTAAGGTGACTTTCCAGTGGGCGCTTCGCTTGCAGCACGAATCTGCATTCAGCTTGACATCCAACAGCATTTGTTGCGGGCGAATTTATCAAACGCCAGGCGGCTAGGCTACTATTGGTCATCATGGGAATGCCGGAGACTATTTTCAAAATTCAGGGGCACGAAAAGCCAAGGAGCATCCGTCGGCGAGCTCAGGGACTCTTCAGCACACGACACCTTTGGTTGCGAAACTTGATCGGAACTGCTGCTACTTGTGTATGTGATCACTGGTCATGGCTGCTCGTGGACTCAAGGGTCATGCTGGGAGCATCACATCCGCTGTGGATTGCAAGCTCGGCCTCAAACATGCACAGAGCCAAGACAGACTGCAACACCGCACTGGTCAAAGAGCCTGGGAGGCAAGTCTTCGGCCAGGTGAATGCAGGAAGACTTCATCAGCTCTGCCTTGCCTTCGTTGCATGTGCGTGCTGCGCACGCAACTGCCCAGAGAAGACTGCAACTCAGAATGTCCCTGTCACTCTTGCTGCTAAAGACTTAAAGAAAGTCTCCCGGGGCGTGGCCGTGCTAGCAGGCAGCAGATCAGTTTGGGTCAGGCGCAGACTGCAGAGTTGCGGCCGAAGGTCGTTCCTGTGCCTGCCGCTCGAGACGCACGCTGGGTCTGCCTTAAGGTGCAGCGGCGGTCGCATCCTCACCAACCCTTCGCATGTCCGCGTGACTAGTGACTAATGTTCCTCCAAAGAGCGAGGCCCGTTGAAGAGTCGATTGAAAACAGCGGGCCTGAGAAAAATCATTCCATCAGTTCCATCACTTGCCGTGAGTATCTTGAGAGTTGGTAGGCCCATTGCTGCAGTTGTCAAGCATCCTGAACTGTACTGAGGACAGCTCACATGATCTTCGCTGATCCTGCTGATTGTGGTCAGGCATTTCTGCAATGCTCCATCGCCTGCCCACAAAGTTAGGAGAGAAGTGAGCAACTTTGCGAGGGCAAGGGGTTGGTCTACAATGTCTTCACTCGTCGGAAAAGCTCACACAAACAATGCCAAACGATGCCAAATGCATCATTAACACCAAGATACAGCAAGAACAGTGCGGCACAGGAGAGAGTCAGTTGGCATGGACGTGGTGCTTCTTACAGCAACCTTACAGGGACATGCTCCAAACACATTGCCTTGCAACGCAGGCGACGTCTGCATCAAGGATGTTGCCTGCCGGTTGCACATGGGGTCGTTGACAAAACGGTCTGAGCCAGCAGCACTTGCCTGAGTCAAGCGAGTTGAAAGAGATAGCAGAGCTTCCCGCAGCTCGCTGTTCTCTGCGGCCAGGCCTTGCATTTTCTGACCGGCTTCGGCCAGGAGGTCAATGGTGGCCAGTGTCACACCTCGCATCTGCCTGGCTCCGGCTCCTCCGGCTCCTCCGGCTCCTCCGGCTCCTCCGGCTCCGCTGGCTCCTCCGGCTCCTCCGGCTCCTCCGGCTCCGCTGGCTCCGCTGGCTCCGCTGGAAGACTTCCCATCCTCGGTGGCTTTTGGTTCGTCACCCAGGGCGGACTTGAGGCGCTCAGTGGAAAGCTCCAGCATCCGCTTTTCCAGGTCCTGTTTGCGGCGCTGGGAAGAGAAGCTTTTGTGCTGAAGCTGCTGCAGATTTTCCAATTCCATGGGCGTAGCCTCGCCAGCTTGCACGTTCTGCAAGGCAGTCCGAACTGCCGCTGAAGCTGCGTCTGCTTCTGCAGACGCATCTCTCAGCTCAGCTTCGAGATCTGGGCATGACACTTGGACCTCGCCGTCATCCCCAGGATCCGTTTTCATGAGCTGTGTACGGACTTCTTGGACAAAGCTTGCTAGCTGCTGTGCTTCTCCTGCAGTATTATCGGCATCCATCAGGAGGAGCCCTTGGCTTTGCTTTGCCAGTTGGCGCCGCAACTGTGCATTTTGCCGGGTTAATTCTTCGACTTTTGCCATCTCTGCGTCTCTCTTGGCCCAGGCTTCGAGGAGTTGCTCATGTGCCTCATCCAAGAGTGAAATGCCCGCCTCACGCGGAGAATTCTGAAGCTCTGGTACCAACTCACCCGTCAGAGGATCCTCCTCGAGGAAGGCAAGGCTCTTCACACTCATTGGTGGTGAAGTCGTCTTTGGTGGTGAAGTCGTCTTTCGGGAATCTGCTATGCGAACTCTTCGCACTGCCTGCTGGGACAAGCTTCAAGCTCAAGAGCGCACGAGACTGAACTTGAAGCGGCCTTCTTGAGACTTTCACAGGTCTCGTTCAAGCTGGCGAGCCGAGCCTGTACGATTACACTCATCACAAAAGCATTGCAAGGCATTACTACTGCAGTTCCTGTTGCAGCCGGAGCCTTCAGGTCACGCTCCTTTGCCAGCAGCTCCTGGAAATGCTGCTGTGCTTCCTCAGCTTCTCGTTTCGCTGTGCCTCAATCATGGCAGTTGCATAAAAGGACTGTGCTGACAATGGGAAGCTGGGCAGCAGGTTGGACTCGAAAATAAAGTACAACGATGACGATGGCAACTGCCTGTGTTATTCCTAGCAACTCTTGCGCACTGCATATGCAGCCATTGCAGCACCTTAAGGCGAGTTGGTGGGGAGGTGGAATGCATTCCATTGCCAATCTTGGCAGCGGTCGAGCATGATGTCTGAAATTTCATGGTACATCATGGTACCAAGTGAAGCCAGGCGACTGAGGGACGACCTGAGCAGAAAACTCGACCCTGATGTCTGTGCAAAGCAGAACACCCTCTTGCGAAAAGAGAGCTTTGTTCGCAAGGCTGTGCGAGTCCAAGAGGCTGTAGAAGGGCTTGCTCCTGCTCGAAATGCTCCAGGCAACCCTTGAGCTCGGAGCACCTTACAAGCTGTGACAAGGATGCCTTGGTTAGTTTCCATAAATCCCCATGTATCCCTATGATAGTATGGATCCTTGAGTTTAGTGCCACGGCACTCCAGGCGGCTCGCCTCCAGCGAGCTCTCAGCCGACCGACGTTCCTGGCCCAGGCCCCGCATTTAATCCAAGATTAGCCATCCAAGAACTGCAAACCTTGTCAGGCGTGACCACTGCGTTTTTACCTAAACCAGTTATTCTAGGACCAGTGATCGTTAAAAACAACTGCTGTCCTTCGCTTCTGCGCGGATCTCCTGCTTCAGCTGCATGGCACTGCTCCGCAGGTCTGCCACCTTTGTGTGCTGAGTAGCGCAAGCTTTCGATAGTTCTTGCCATTTCAGTGTTGCCACCGCATTGTGGCTGCAGGTGCTTACACATGCTTACACGTCTTTTTTCCTCTACTGGACAGCCACACGATGACAAAAAAAAAAAAAGGATCCAGCCTTCTCCTCCAGATCCGCCATCACTTGCAGATGCACAGCCTGCTTCGAAACCTTGGGTGTCGTCGCCTGCTCCTCACACATGAGTTGATAAACAATAGCTCTTGGTTTTACGAGGGGTAGTGTCATTTCCCTTCACCATCCAGGGCCGCCAGTAGCAATGTTCATTTAGTGGTTGAACATGGCTGTGAACTCATTTCTGCTTATCAAGCACTTTAACGAAAGCAGGATATAATCTTGCTCTATATTGGGGATGAGAGTATCTTTGACAATCCTAAGCAAGTGATTCCTCATAGCTGGCAGGTCCTCCTGGAGCTGCGTCACGTTTTGGCGAAGCTCGGCGATCTCGTGGCCTTTCCTCACCAGGGCCTGTCTCATCTCCTGGATCTCCTGGTTGTCGCTCAACTCCTTGAGCTTCTCAAACTGCCCAAGGTCCACACATCCCGCAACGCGAGGATTGCTTTCCAGGATCATTGTCAGCTTCTCCTTCACCGCCAGCAGCATAAACTCCGTCTCTTTTGCAGTCAGCGCTTTGGCAGGATCGAAGAAATACACAACCTGCAAGAGGACACCTTCTACCATTTGTATCAATCATGGGCTACCGAATATGAGCTGTAGTCTAAACTCCTAATTTCCCCCTTCCCCTTTGTGGTGCTTAGACTATAGCTCATACATCCTTGAGGGCCCTGCATCAGATCCGCGCCCCTGTATCTGCCAATCGGAGCAGTCCATGTCCCCGCCTCAAATTCGAACGTGTAAAACATGACTGGCAATAGAGCAACGTTGTTCCCCAAGCTGCGACCTGAACATTCACAGCACCAATAAGGATCATGCGCACACGAGATTGGTCTCGAAGCATGGATACCTCTTGCAGGTAGTCCTTTTGCAGGGCATTCAACGCTTCAGCTGACAGCATCCACAACAGAAAGGCCTGGCGAATGGTGGCAAACTGTTGTTGCAACCTTGGACTGTAGACTTTAGCTTGAAAGTGCTGAATATGGGATGATGAAGGCAAGCAGTATGTTAGACCAGCGACTCCTCATAGTGATGTCGCAGCCATTTGAGCTCTTGATCCTGTGCACGCTAGCAGGACTGTGGCAAGCCTTCAGCATGCAACGCAGCGATGCTCACCATTGCTCCGTCTAGGTCCAGGAGTGTCCTGCTTTTGAATATAGTGATGCCAGCAAATGCGCAGTGCCGTCCACTTCGACTGATGAACAGCCTGCCAATTCTGGAAGCAACGTTGCGGGCATGCGCTGCACATGCCACAAGTTAGCTGGTATGAAGTTTGTCGCGTTTGCAATGATCAGATGTGTGCGTGCAGGTATCAAGTCTCAGCGCTGCAGATGATGACAGCACTGACAGCCCCTAAGTTTGGTAAAGCCGACACACTGCCAAATGCGTGCCTTGACTGCCAGTCGCATGAGGATGTCCTTCTTGCGCGCCGCCGACATGGGCCTTGGCAGGCGTCGGCAAGTTTGCTCCGGATAAAGCTGCATCAAAAGAGCCCAAGAGATTTGCTCTGATGACTTCCAGGCTTGGCCCCTGGCTCGACCTCGCCGCCAAAACGACTTTCGGCAACTTTCTGTGGCAGAACTCCTGCACAAGTAGTCGCTGTCTTTTAAGCTGGGACTTCTCGTTTACGTCATAGCTTGAAACCTCAACCAACTGCTGCAAAGCCACCAAGCTCATCGAAGAAGCCATGTGTGCCATTCAGCTCATGCTGAAAGTGCTGCAACCTGGGATATCACTTGAATGCTTGGCCGCCAAATCTCTGTATCACACCGGATCCAAAAACAGCAACATCCGTAAACATGATATGGCGACCATGCTGGCGCAAGCATGCAAAGATTGCCAAGCAGCAGCTCTGTGGTTTTCTGCATGAGGAAGGGGCTGGTAAGCACACCTCCCAAGACAGCCTGACAACATCCACAGTCAAGTCCACATTGGCTGGGAATGCGTACTGTGCTTGCAGTAGCTGCCTACGCTCAGCGAGCAAGGAGGCAACTTGGGTGATGGGCCTCTTCTTCGTGGCACGGTCCAGTGGTAGGGCAATAACCTCTCCTGAGGCGACATCTCAGTTTGAGCCCATGACGAGCATCCTTTGTCAGTGGCTATAATCCCAATATAACCCCAATATAATCCCAATATAACCCCAATATAACCCCAATATAATCCCAATATAATCCCAATAACAAGAGAAGCAGACTCCTGGTAAGGTAGGATGTCTTGACGCCCGGCTTTTCCGTGAACCATCGCACGGCAAGGAGTTTCTGGACCTTCGCCTGGAGATTCCAAATTTTGGGAAACCCTAATCCTCTATATAATCTCAGTTTCCATTTCATTTTCCATTTTCTTTTCCATTTGATTCTCCATTATTGGGGTAATTGGGGACCCTAAACCCTAAACCTTTAAACTCTTAAACCCTAAACCCCTAAACCCTTAAAACCTTAAACCCTAAACCCTAAACCCCTAAACCTCACATCTTCTCTTCCATGGGCCTTTCTGCACTTGGGCTGCCCTGGCTGGGTCATGTGCAAGACCCCAATATAGACCCTTCAGAAACTATCATCCTTATTTTGCGGGCCCACACCTAAAACCCTACACCCTAAACCTAAAATCCTCATGTGAACCTCATAGGAGCGAACCTCAGGCTTGCTACTTGTAGCATCCATGAGCTTCGACTCCCAGGGATGTGGGCAGTTCCCCCAAACAAGGGTTTAGGGTTTAGGGTAGTTCCCAAGATTAGGGTCCCAATTTGGTACCCCTAAATATTAGGTCCGTAATGTAATCTATACTCAAACGGGGCCCATAGTTTAGAGAAGAAACTGTTTCTTTGTTTGTGCTTATTAGAGACTCGAATAAGCAGATAACAGTATATAATTTAAAGTTTCCAGGGCAGATAGTTAGCGGATGTATGCCGCGGAGGCAGTCCTCTGTATCCGGGCATAGGTATTCGGTGGACGCATACCCCTTCCGGCAGCAAAATCGAAGGTTCTTGGGAGCGTGAAATGGTGCTGGCTATTGGGTTTACAATACTCCAAAGCTTCGTACAGGTCCACTTTTGGGAAGGTGCACATGCAATTATCTGGGCTTATCTAGGGATTATAGGTTATGTATTGGGATTATTTAGGGATAATGGAAAAGAAATTGTAAACTACTATAATGGGTTATAGCTAGTACATGCATATTGCCCTGCCCTCCAATTGCCCCAAGCGTCCTGAACGCTGACACCTGCATTCCACCATCAGATGTGTTGCATACGCGAAAATATGCTGTCCGCCTTCACAGACATCCAAGTGGTTCAAATTTAGGGTTCAGGGTTTAGGGTTGAATGAGGCTCTTTGGGCTTCCATGCCATGGTTGCTTTGTTGAGAAGCCGTTTGCTACTTAAAGCTTCAGCTTCCCGGGGAACAGTAGGGAATACGAGAATGTGAGTCCTTACATGTATAATATAATCCCTATATAATATATTCCCTTCTTCCCTACTAACCCCCAGTAAGACTAGTGTCTAGTCTTGATCTAATCAGACTTGCGCATTCGATACAAGGAACGTGTCAGAAACGCATATCACCCGCATGCACAACCAGCTGCTTGGCGTTTTCAGTTTACCCGTCAAATCGCAGGATTTGCGTCGGGAATCTTAGGTGGTGCAAGGGTTTAGTCGTATATCATATTAGATGTATACAGAGTATGGGGCAGAATCATGGTTACGGCGCCCGTACGGGCCCGTGTGTTTAAGCACATTCCTATGTATGAGATCTGAGGTCAATGCGTGCGAAACTATGGAAAACCGCCCATTTGCACGAAAAGGGTTGTAATTTCAGGAAGCAAAAACACCGTAAGGTACCCCTCCGACGTCTGATTTTGAGCATTTTTCCATGGTTTCGAGAGCCTTCGGCGAACACGGCGTTTTCGTTCACGCAGCTTTTGCAAGCTGTCCAAGCTTGCTGAGGAACTTATTAGTGCCTGTTTCCTTGAGCCACAAGCTTTGCCACACGTAGTCAAGCACCTGTGGCTGAAACCTTGTGCTGTCGCCGCAGAGCGTTTTACTGGCCGTATGTTTGAGCTCGCAACTTTTGAGACCCTGCACTGTCGCAGCTCATCACAAACAGACGGCTCGACCATGGCAGGAAGACACCACAAACAAGACCTTTTGTCAGGCAAAACTGCTGCGTGAGAAGCGGTCCTCACGGCGGAATTCCCCCCCCCTACCCCCCTCCCCACCTTCCCCCACCCCTGCATCGTATACAACAGGAAGCAGCAAAAATATGCAGAAACGCACGGGCCCGTGGAGGCGCCGTCACCAGAAACATGCCTTATGATTCCCATTAATCTGCGAAGTTGTCCAGAGCTTGTTCTTTGACGTCGGTTTGCATGCCACCACGTTGTCGGTGATGGTAGATAACATCCGCAGTGAAGCGCTGAATGCCCAAAACCCAAACATCATGTCGAAACCGAAAGAATAACAAGTATTCTGGTTTTAGTTTCCTCGTATGATTATGAGGCAGGATACCCTAAATAAACCCCAATGTGATGTCAGTATCCATGTATTCAGGCCCATACAGTACATAATCCTACAAAACCCTATAAACGCCGAGTTTATACTTCATTTTCAGCTTTCTTTTCAATGTGCTTCTTCATTCCTTATTGTTCTTTACGTCCTTACACTACAACATATTGTGAACGACGCCATCGCGGAGTGGTATGCTATCTCCGCGAAAACCACCCAAAAAACATCACGAACCGATTCCCCAAACACGCACTTCAATGAATCCTCATCAGTCAAGTCTTACTTGATCCATTTTGGGGTAAAATCGTTAAATCCTAAGCCGGCCCCAAACCCTGAACGCTAACCCCAATGCCAAAACCCGAAACAGGTGGCTTTGCACTAAAGCGCCTACCTGAGGTACAAGAATGGCTCCTGGCCATACACCGGCACCTCCATCTAAAGTTCTTAGAAAGGGAATTCTGAGGGTTCAGGAAAACTCAGTGCAGCATACCCTCAACCCTCAACCCTGAACTCTAAACCCCAAGTCGTAAGGAAGCCGGAGAACCTTACCACTTCTCATTTTGACGTGATTGCTCGGGTTGAGGGTTGACATGAGCTATAGTCTAAACTCCTTAGATGGGGTTATATAGGGGATCATATAGAGGTTATCAAGGGGATGCTAGGAGTTTAGACTATAGCTCACATGTGGCGCCCAATTTTTCGTGCAAACGAACGCAGTGTTGCTTGCTGAAGGGTGTAAAGGTATGCAGATTTGTGTTAGTAGGGTCTAGGAATTCTGGCATGAAGAAAAAGTTATGTGCCACAGGCACAGAAATGACCAGAGTCATGGTAGCGATATGCATCAACGCTTTCCTTTGTTGAGTTGCTGTTAAGGAACTTGAACCAGGATATCTTCTAAACGGTCCCTCCTATTGTTTACCATCTTGTTTACAATATCTCCATATTCTGATAAGTTGATGAAAGTTTCTTAACAGCAACCCACTTTGGGAAGCTGCCCTCCGAGCTCATGCGCGGTGCTTGTCTATAAGCCTGTCTGGTCAGTGCTTCAGGACACGTACCCTTAGTCCAAAACCCAAAATCCTAAAACCCCAACCCCCCCAAACCCTAAACAAGTTCAAGGCCACAAAGTCAACCATTTAATTTAGCCTCCATGCAATGCATGGGTGGGAGCCAGATATTCCAGCTCCAGAGTCTACCGTCTTCGGCGTTCTTCTTGAACTTTATGTTAACTGTTATGTACGCCGGAACACAATGCAGATCAAAAATGATCATTCCGAATAGTGCCTCAAACCTAGACCCTAAACTCTAAACCAAAAAAGTCTTACTTATAAGAAGACTCGGCCCACCACAATCGACCTACACACAACTCCGAGCAACCTCGAAACTGTGAGCCGTGAAGCTCTCCAGCCTGCGCTTGAGAGACCCATGCCAGTGCAGGGCCTAGGATTAAGGATTTAGGGCTTGGGGTCTAGGATTTGGGCTTTAGGTTTAGGATTTGGGGTTCAGGGTTTAGGATTTAGGGTCTTGGGTTTAGGGTCTAGGATGTTGGCTTTAGCCTGACTGGGGATACTATGGTCGCCAAGATAGAGTAAGGTCATATCCTCCTCTTGGTCGCAGTATTTACAGTGAAGAAGAAGAAAATCTTACTTGGTTCAGCCAGCAAAGCAAATGATGCTCATATGCCCCGCATCTAGACCTTGGGGTTTATGTTTTAGGGTTTTTGAAGTTTGGGCTTCGTTTGCAGAGCTTGGGTTTTAGGTCTCACTCTGAGCTAGGTAGTTGAAGGCTTATGCCCGGAATTTTAGCTTCTCAAGGCCCCGCTCCTGCGTCTTCTTCCACATGCTTCGACCCTGCAGATTGCCGGAGATTGTGGGTTCCCTGTACCGGCAAATCCAGCATGGCATCCACGGCTTGATGGAACGGAAGAATCTCTAGGGCTCT